GATGTTGACAAAAATATTATCTGCTAATATACTTCACTAGTTTTATCAATGAAGTGAAAATTGTGGCGCGATAATCAAATTTATTCTACTATTATCAAAGTGAAATACTCTGAATAGACATATACTTTTACTCATGTTTTTAAAATTCATACTGGAGCTTATATTGATGGTCAAGTAAAACTATTTTTTTTACTCAATGTCCAATTTTGTCGATCTGATCATGAAACCTAGAGATCTATTATGATCATTTAAAGTATAAATATTTAATTAAAAATTTGTTGTTAAATGGTGGACTGTATCTAAAGTTGATGTGAAGCTTAAATCTATTAATATAGTGATTATAACGAACAAATGAATGCTATTCAATACTACTTGAAAAGAAGAAATCTCATTAAAAACTTCATAATAATCTCCGATGAAAATTTTTTAACGAATTAACAAAGGAGATCAAGAAAAGCATGCAAAAAAACTAATATATAAACTTTTTTTTAGATGAAGAATAAAAGATGTCTTAATCTGACAAGACATCAGTCGTCAGTGAAGACATCTTAATAATTGAGAAGACTTACACTAAACACTAGTACAAAAACTCATGATTTCAAAAATCTATTGAAGCAACGATCACTTCAAGTGAAGGAATCAGGGCCCCACTAATAACAATCTCTGTACTACTTATAAATATGTTACAGCTTTTAAATATCATGCGATAATGAATGAATCTAATTTACCAATCAAGCTATCACTTAAAAAAGAATATGATATTTTTATGGTTCATTATAATTTGTGTTATGAGTCGATGTTCAATTGATTCTCAAGTCTATATATAACCTAATTTATGTAAGAGTAATTGATTTTTGCTGGAGTGTTTATCTAGCTAACAAAATATTTATTTTGAGTTTTATTATTCTACAAGTTTTAGGTTATAAATATTAAGTCTGTTTAATGGTTTTATTTTAGTTTTATGTAGTTTTTATTTAGTTCTTTATTTAAGAGCCAAAATAGTATAAGAAAATTACAATAAGAACATAGAATAAACTTAAAATTAATAACTTAGAACTTACAACAATTTAAAGCTCACAATAGTAGTTTGTTACTTTGACAAACTCGTACAAAGTCACCATACTCTTACATAGATTAGATATATATAGACTTGAAAATTAACCGAACTTCAGGTAATAACACAAATTACACAATGGACAATAAAAAATGTTTAATTATTTTTTTAGGATAATTTGATTGGTAAATTAGATTCATTATTTGTCACATGATTCTTTTTAAGTTGAAAAATATATCTGATTAATATAGAGGTTGTTATTGGTGGTTTTTTAATTCTTTATGGATGAGTTAGTCTTCGCTTTAGTCATTTTTTAAAATTATGAGTTGTTTAAACTAATGTCTGGTGAAAATATTTTCAATTATCAGACATGTCTTCACTGGCTGCTGATGCCTTTTTAGACTGAGACATTTTTTCTTCCTGTTATAAAAGTAACTGTGCAAGTGTTGACCTCATTTTTAGTGAGGTCTAGTATTTCTCTTAGGATTTAAGATCTAACCTTAGGGTTCTCCCTTTGATTATCTTAGAGCCTTAAAAATGGGACCCGACTCATTTTAGAAATTCATCTACTACTTTACTCTTTTGAAGTTCCACGTGTTGTTCTTGACCTCTAGCACCTACAAGGTTGAAACTAACATGAGGGAACTCAAGAGGGAGTCCCTATAGGAGCTTTAAGCATTAGAGTTGCATTTTGCACAATTTGCACTTCCGCACACACAACATTCACAATTCGGACAATTGACACGTTTAAACACTGAAATTCGCATCGCTCGAATATTTATTTGCTTCAAAATTAATTAAAATTAGGATTAAATTTTGAAATGATCGATTGCGAAACGAAATTTTAATGAAAATTAAATTTGACGTGTTTTTGGCCCGATCATCGATGTGAACGTCCGGACGATCCCAGATGACAAAACAGATCGCGCCGGTGCGTCCGGAATGTCAAAATTACGTAAGAAGTACACCCATTTTGCTTGGGCATCGCACACGAATAAATTGCATGAAATTAATTTTATATATATA